TTTGATGCCAGACCAGTTGTTTACATATTGTAGAGAAAACACCTTGATGATAATATTTATAAACAGTTAAGAGTTGGGGGGGTAATGGTTATTAGGCTAGTTACAGATTTTGGGGAATTGATAAAGGTGGCACTAAAAAGGGGCATGGGAAAAGGGGTGGGGAGGAAAGAGATATAGGGGCTGCTGGGTTTTGTGGCACTTATGTGTGTTTGGGTGTATTTCTGTTGCTGTAGTGAAGGGTGTTTGTGTCAGGGATTGTAGGGGGCTGGGATTGTGTACAGTTGTACAGTACGCTATTCAGAAGGTGGTGAGTGTGTAGGAAGGAAGGGTAGTGTAGTGACAGGTTGGGGAAAGATAGGAGGGGAAAGGGGAGGTGAGGACAGGAGGAGAGAGTGGATGAGAAGAGGCAGAAAGAGTAGTTGGGAGGGAGAACAAGAGATTCTAGTACAGGAGGAGGGAAAGTGAAGAGGATAAGAATAGGGATAAGAGAATAGTGATGATGAAGTTAATAATACAGGAATAAAAAAGAAAAAAAAAACAGGTTCAGGAACCACAAAATTTCAGGCTATTGGTAAAAGTTCTGGAGTTATTCCTTAGGTGTCCAATCCTGGTACTGACATACAAGCGGAAGCTCTGATGTGGTTCCACCAGGTTACAGGCATGTGAATGGTATTTTGTCCTTCTGTCCACAAGATTAGTTGGAATTGTGAGGTGAGGTAAGGCTGCCAGCTTGTGCAGGGTGGTCAGAACTGTTGTTTTCACCAGGCTGCAGCTGTCTTGCCCTTCAGCTGAAGCTGTTTTGTCAGCTCCTCCCCCAGCAAGGTGGGGCAATTCAGTTTTGAATGCTGCCCTCTATCCCAGAGAACAGCTCCAGGATCCACCTCTTGCCCCACTTTGGGAGGCTAGCCTGTCGCCCCACACCTGCTCTCAGCTTTTGTGCTTTTTCTGATGTCTGCTGAGTGCTGGTGGCTCCTTTGAGAGGTTGGTTTGTCACCTCACTCCCTCTCTCAGCCTTTATGCCTCTCCTGATCTCTGCTGGGAGCTGGTGGCTCCTTTGGGAACTTGTTGCACCGCCCTGCTCTCGGCCTTTGCTGCTTTGTGCATGAGCAACTGAGAGTTTGACACTGAGAGTTCAGCTCCTTGCCCCATCCCTGTTCCCCAGGGAAGGTTCAGCATTCCACCCTTACCTCCACTGTCAGTGTTACAGTTTGCTATTTATGTTTTCCAGTTTTTCTTGGGGGGAGGTGTCAGTCTGCCCAGGGCCTGCACTGGATTATTTTCTAGGGAGGGAGTAATGCATGGTGCATGATGCTCACCTGTTCCCTCTGCAGTTTCACACAGGCATCTTTGGAGCCAGCTGGTGGAAATAAATGGTGCTGCCTTTCTCAGTGCAGCACAATGTAGGTAGGGAGGCTTTCCACAAGCTAGGGGTCCAGGATATCACTGAGTTTGATTCTGATTGATGCTCTGTCTTCTGATTGTTGGGAGAAGAAAAGAAGAAAAAAAAGAGAGAAGCAGCAGGGGACTTTTTTCCCAGGGCTGGAGACTAGACACACTTTGATGGCTGTGCTAGGCAGGATTTTCACAGCTGTTAGGTGCAATAAAAGGCTGATTTAAGGGTCAGTCTGAATTTTATCTGCACCTAATGTGATGGCAGTTATTATTTTGGCTAGGAGCAATCACAATTACTGAAGTATAGCTCCAGTATCTCAAGGAGGTTTCTGGTGTCATGGGGTGGTTATTTTGGCTAGGAGCAATCAGAATGACCCAAGTGTAGCTCCAATATCTGGAGGAGGTTTCTGGTGTCATGGGGCTTAGAAGTTCGATTCCCTACCTTAGCTGCCATTTTTCTGAAGGGTTTTTAAGTGTTTTGTATCTCATGTAAGAGGACAGAAAGTAACTAACTTTAAACTTTGATAAATTAGGTGAATGCATAAAAATGTCCAGAATAATCACTGAGAGTAGCAAAAATATGTATAACTTCTAAACTAACAGTAGAAAGAAACCAGGGACACAATAATCAATTCAAAAAAGGGAAAATATATTATAGCCCAAAATGTCACTTAATAGTAATATTTAAAACAATGTACATCAATGGAATGCATCAAGTAAAATTGAGAGATTAAATTCTGAAGAAACTCAGCTATGTGCTGTTTATATGAAACATATCCAAAACATAAGGATATAAGAAAGGTTGTAAATACAAACATACATTAGGTGACATTAACCAAAAAGAAACTTCTATGTGACAAAGTTGACTTGAGGCAAAGAACTTCACCTGAGGATAAAGATGACTCCTACGTAATGTTGAAGGTTCAAGTCACCTAATGGATACAGCAATCCTAAGACTACCACATCAAAATACGGAGCAAAAACTTGAAGAACTACAAGAAAGAGTTGACATTCCTTCATCAAACTGATTTTGCCAAATCTCTTTCAGCAACTCATGTACGTGATCATACACACAAAAGTTTACTTAAGCTATGAGAGATTTGAGCAACACAATTTAAAAACATTAATACATCACAATGAATAATTGCAGATCAATTGCTTTTAAGCATATATGATCTTAATGTATCTTTTAAGATACACTAAACCATTTATGAAAAATGGCCATATGAGCTGATAAAATAAAAAATGCTGCTCTTTCCTCATCATTTCTATTCAGCATTATCCTGGAGGTCCCAACCTCATCTGGCAAAATAAAAGATTAAATCCAAAAGAAAAAAAGTAAAACTGTCTAAAATTTATTTAAAGATGTGATTCTCTATGTAGAAAACCTAGACAAATTGTAAGAGACAGTGTTGGATACAAGTAATGCAAAAAGCAACAAAAAAGTAAAATATAAGTTTAATAAATGGAATATAACAGCATTGAAAACCTGAAAATAACTATCATTAAACTAACAAAAGATGTTACATCTCAGAACCATTTTGTATTAACCACTAGTACATTTAATAATACTTAAAAGGAGAAAAGTTCTGTATTCATGGATTCATACCATAAGCATGGTAATTCCTGAACAAAATAACCTGTAAATTTAATGTGATGCCTGAGGAAAAACCAAAAGGGTTGTGTGTGTGCAACCCTGATACTAAAATACTGATAATAAAACTTACATGAATGTCTACAGGCCCAAGAAGAGCAAAGAAATGCCTGGACTGTAAATTGAACACATTTATGTTAGTAGGTCAAGAATTACTGTAAATCTACAGTAAATAAAACTAGTTTTAGCACAGGGATGTATACACTGACTAATAAAATAGAAAAGGAATCTAGAATCAGAGCACAAATATATAAAAGCTTGGTTTTTGACAACAGCAACAACATTACAGAAGAAAAAAAGACTGCTCAAAACTTCCGAAACAAGTAACAAAATTTAAAAATTTTGTTTTTTAAATATAGCACAACCACAATTTCTCACCATTCACAATGACCAATCCCGTATGTTGCAGATTCAAATGTGAAAGACAAAAATCATGGAAATTCTGTAAGAAAACATTATTTTCATGTAGGAAGGTAAGATGAATTTGAAAACTGAAATTAAAAATGGCAATTTGTTAAAAGATATCCTACCAACAAAAGCCACAAGCTGAGAAGATATTTGCAACACATATTATCGACAATGGATCAGTATTAATATATAGGAACACCTATAATTGACCTTTAAAATGAAACTACCGAGGGCTGAGGATGTGGCTCAGTGGTAGAGCACAGTCTTAGGTTTGATCCTCAGTAACATAAAAAAAAAATAAATTTACAAAATACTTAAAATAAGCCTCTTTTACAGAAAATCTAAAACCAAGTAACACTTGAAAAGATTAAAAAGAAAACTTCAAACAAGTAACAAAGTCCCTAGCAGATAGCTTACATTACCAAACAGGGAAAAATCACTGTCAAGTGCATACATGTGAGAAAGTGAGGCATCTGGAACACTGCATCTTCAGCATTGCTGAATGGAACACACTGTTCACTATCTTATGAAACAAATCTGCATCATCTAGGTGAATATAACTCTGCTCCCAGATGTACACTCTTAAAAAAAAAACTTTCACACATGGAGTATTCACAAAGGACTACAGTAAGTCCACCTTATTCATGGATTTATTACATGCGATTTTGGTCCAAGCGCACTAAGAAAAAGAAGGAAAAAGGAAGGGAGGGAGGGGAAGTAAAAATCAAAAGGAAAAGTTTTAATTCCTGCACACACCTTACACAGCTCAGTGGATGAACTCCGTCAGTCCAACATACAGATAATAACATTATCTGTCATCAGTTGTATTTAAATTGTGTGTATCTACTAAGTGTGTCCCTGCCCTTAATTTTGTGTAAATCTGCCTCTCAAAACCCAAATAGTGCCCTCAAAATCCAGATAGAAATGAATGTGCTTAACTGGAGTGATAAAGTGAACATTTTAGATTTGTTGGAAGGTGGAGTGTGTTTAGCAGAAATGGCACCCACAGAACAGAACTGAATGTGATTGGGTTTTTCTCAACAGTGGGCTCCTTGGACCCAGATAGCCATGGTTATCAAGGCTGTACTGTACTTTAAGGAATAAAAACATGTCCATCAGAGAATAAACTGTAACTGTGACTGTAACATTATGTACAATATGATCAATTTGGGGAAGACATGAACAAGTGAGCTGCAGAAGCTCACTTGATCTCAGCAAGTATGAAGTCAAATAGTATGTGGCTGTATAAACAGAAACATGTAGTAAAACAGCAGCAAAAAAGCAAGATCATAATACACACAGAAAGGTGACAGAGAGGAGGGACTAAATGACATTGAGAAAGGGGCACACAGGTACATACATGTGTGATATTTCTATTTTACTTAATTTTATAAATACAGTTCATATTAACTGAATATCAAAATAATTTTCATAGAAAATTCTGTATCCTTCACAAATGACAAGAGTCAAAAGGAACTGAGATGTTCAAACACAAACAACTGTGTCTCAGCACATATATGTACTGAGATTGTGTTCATTTAAAACTAAGAGAGAAAGAAAAGGCAGGCCACTACATGATGCTCAATTACATGTGACTGTTTATTTTAAATGATTTACCAATGATTTAACAGGCTTTGCTTCACTTTCATCTCAAACAGCTAGAAATCAACACACTTGTCATATCTTATTTTAACCACTGTGTATGCTATTTTGATAACATTTTTCTTTATTAATATCAGAACCAAATATATTGACCAAAACGTATAGATTTAAATTAGCTTCTTGGTAGCCATATGACAGATTCTTGGGATTTATCTGATGTTAGATGATATTTCAGGCCTATTACCAGCTATATGCATGACAGGCAAAATACACCACTCTAGACCTGCTTTCTTCTCTACAGATTAAAGACCTAGATTAGATGATAACTAATGTTTTATCTGTCTATACAATTCCATGATGATACTCCTCCTCATCACTTTCATTTACTTTTAATTCATTTGCTACTTTTCTACCTATAGACCATAATTTTCCATATCCAAGAATGGAAATTCATTAAAAAATAGACACAAACAAAAATATTCTTATTCCAATATATCTGCATTAACAGATAAGAAGGCTTTCACTTGAGTTTCCATTTAATTCTACCTCTTTATTTAAAATCAGTGATAAAGTCACACTTATAAAATAAAAGCATTTAAGAACACAAAAGATACATTTTGATGACAAAAAAAATATGCAATGATCATAAAATCTACCGTACACTTTGCCAAGGTGAATAGAATGAAAGACAATATGAAAATGTCAATCTTCAAATGCATCCCTAACAAAGGCTCCTAAATAGTAAGGCCATCACTGAAGAATATATATTTCTACAAATCTGGATATAGTGTCAAAAAATTAGGGGTGAGGAGGCAGATAAGATTAAAACTGATCCTAGGTTTAACATGAAAATATGTGGGTGCCAGGAATTCAAGATTAAACTTAATTCATAACAAAATGAATACTTATAACAAATGACAAAGGTATGGAACTATTTTCTTAGAAACAAAATGGTCATATCTTAATAATAGTTTAATGGTCGCATAGAAAAATTGTAGACATCCACATTATGCCTCCCACCCTGGCCACAGGTGTAAAACAAACACCTTCCATGAAATTATCTTTCACATTACTAAAATATCCTCAATTATTTGGGAAATTTTTAGGTTTAGACTATTCCAAACAATTGCTTTGTATGTGTGAAATTATTAGAACTGAGATATCTGAAACAATATTTGAATCTTCAAGAGACAAAAATCCCTCTCACTATACAATGATTAAAGGAGTTTCCTTAAGCAAACCTGAGCAACTACTGTAATGGTAATGCTGGTGGGAATAAGTGATACTTTAAAAATATATAATCCATCTAACACTAAGCAGCAAGTATGTTACATTGTACACTTTCTTAACAAGGAATGACTGTTTTCAGGCCTTACTAAGGAAGGATAAAACTAATAGTGGCATTTACTACCTGTTTTATTACTGAGAAGCTACATAGCGTAAGTATGTAATAGTAAGCAAAAAATGAAAACCGTCATAATTTTACCAAAGAAACAGAAAAACAGAGGAAGAAGTTAAATGAGCATGGTGTCGGTCCCAAAGATTGCACTATGACTCTGAACCAGATTTCAATACAAAGGAATCTACATACAGTTTCAGTGATTACCTATGTATCTAGAAAGATCCAAAGCAAATGTAGGCAAGCTCAGCCCTACCTTGTTAAAGATAAATATTCAGATAGAGCAGAAGTCCCATTTGCTAAAGTGCATCAGCTGATCATATCGCTTTGGCCCTGCTACTTAGAGCTATCCAAGCAAGTGGTGGTCATTTGCGCTTATCCATTCACTCACTGTCTGTGGTCAGAGACAGAAAGGACAATGGACTTCTTTTTAAATCAAATACTTTCTACAGTGAACTATAGAAAAAAAACAGCCCTAAATACACTAACTTTTGAGTTCTAGAGAGTTAAGACAGTCTCATGATTTTTAAATACTGAAAATGTAAAGGGTCCATACAAATTAGGAGTTGTATTAAGTATATTATACTTTTCTACTTTAATATTTGCTTGCTGTGCTCTTAAAATCTCTATGAGAGAAGCAGGTATTTTCCCCATATCTTTTGGCAATAAATTCAACAGCAAAAGTTGCAGGGTTGTAAAATTTCATGAAATCTGTGTGTTTTAAAGCTAAATTATTCAATTTTTTGTATTATTATTGCACTCATATATTGCCCGGAATATATCTACAGCAACTCAGCAATAGTGATGGCAACAAAAAATAAGGTAAATAAGCCTACAAAGCATTTGATTTCCTTATTAGATAATAAAGTTCTCATAAAGGAAATACAAAGAACTGCAGTTCAAATCAGATTGTATTTGCTTAACAATTTTTTAAACCTTATACAAAATTAAATCTAACCTTTACCACTACAAATCTGTAAGGAACCAGAAAGGGACTTACTGTACACAAAGTCTTAACTATTGCTGCATTCCACTTTGAAATCACTCTGAGTTAAAACAGTGTTTTCCCAATAGTTAAAGAAAAATAGATTTTAAAAAAGAGATTCTTTTTAATCACTAAATACATCATTTTTGTTACTAATGGAAACAGGTTATACTTTTTTCTACTATAATTCACTCTGATGAAAGAAATAATTCTCTCTTTTAATTCCTAGTAAACGCTACATTTTCAAGACTAAAGGAACTATCAGTAGGCATCCTTTCTTCTTGATTTAAATTATTTGTCTCTAAAATACGTCAAGTAAGCTTTTAAAGATTCAGGGAGGGGCAGCTTCATGATTTTCTCCCTCAGTAAGTTTTGAGGAGGCTCGTCTGACTTCAAGGCTTCACTGTGATCTTTCTCTTCCTCTTCTTTGCTATCTTCTTCCATTTTTTCATCCTCCTCACTGTCTAGGGGCTGAGGAATAAGCTGGTTACCCACAAATACGTAAGTGTTAATTCTCTGTTTAACTCTCTTTCTTCTTCTCTTGGGTGGCGCCCGTTGAGGAATCCCCTTGGCCTGCATCTCATCATTTATGAAATTTCTAAGTGTGCGTCGAATGTAGATTCGAGCCAAGTCCTGTAGATTCCTGACAGCACACGGGGCTAAAACAGACAGACACACACACACACCAAAAAGGAAATATTATACAACATTCATGTCATTACAAATATGTTTCTCAGTGAATTTTAGAAAACACACAAACTATAAAAACTGACTTTTGGGGTACTTTTTACATGATAAGCACCATTGTAGGTACTGAGGAGACCGGACAGCACAGAAGTTAAAAGGTACAGGTTTGTGTTGCTAGGTATCTGCATAAAGATTTTCTAGAAGAACAAGTGAAAAAAAAAAAAGATCTAGCTCAAGTTAGATGTCTTAGAGATATTTTGGTTATTAACTAATTAATTAATTCAATGATTAATAATTGACCCTCTAGCAAGTATTGAGCCCTGGGTTATAGACATGAAGACATATTTTTTCCCTACCTCAACTCACCCTGATCTTTATTTTCCCAATTTTGACTTCATGTAGCATCATGATTACTACAAAATTTCAACATTGGTCTCTAAATTTTCCCAGTTGTAAATTCCGTCTTTAAAATGAAATGGTGTATTTCTTGTGAACAAAAACTCTCTGTGAGGCCACTTCCTTAATCCACCTGTTGGCCAGCAGTGTTTAATGGCATAAAATTGATATGCCGCAAATACCCACTGATTAAGTGATAGGCAGATCAGTGGAGGGATGGATTAATTTGTTGCCAATCCCCTTCCCATGTAAGAGAATTGTCAAAGAGGATGGTGGTCTGGCTTCCATTGCTTTGCTGTCACTTTTTATTATTCCATTGGATTATTTCTAATCTGTTATGCATCTGTCATGCCTGAATTGATTTAAACTCCTTGGAACATACTGATATTTTGGCTTGATTTCTTACTAAGAATGATTTCTCTATTATAACTTTAAGGTTTTATTTGTAATTTATAATAAATTACTCTTGTAGTCAAGCAAAAAAAAATGAATTTAGGGTAAGTAAGGATGACATGATTAGAGACAAAAACAGGAGAATGAATTTACCCTGCACATCCTTTTATACTGATTGACGCTTAATTCATTTGAAAAGGACTATTTTTAAAAACTCAAAAAGCAGCCCTTGAACAGCTACCTGACTGAACTCTAAAGCTATTACAACACACACATACACACACCCCTTCTTTTTTTGCCATAAAACTACAAGTAGCACTGATTCGTGGCAAAGGGCCACACCAGAGGGCTGGTTCTGTTTTTTTTTTTTTTTTTTTTTTTTTCCTGTACTGGGGTTTGAACTCAGGGCTTTGTGCTTGCTAGTTCCACTGCTTGTGCCACACCTCCACCTCCAGCCCTTTTTTTGCTTTGGCTATTTTGGAGACAGCATCTTGCTTTTTTGCCTGGGCAGGCCTGGATGATGATTCCTCTTTTGTGCTTCCCCACATAGCTGGGATCACTACATCCAGCTTTTGGTTGAGATGGGGGTCTCGTGAACATTTTGCCCAGGCTGGCCCTGACCCACGATGCTCCCAATCTCAGTCTCCCAAGCAGGATTACAGGTGTGGGCCACTGGTGCCCAGCTATCATGGGATTTTAAAAAAATTACTTATGTTTACTTACATCAAATATATCTGAAAGAGTTGGGTTATATCTCCTGTTTGCTTCGCTCCTGTCTCCCACAGACATATAAACACATACAAACTCTAGAACCACATACTCTCCCTTGTAGCCTTATCCCAATATTTCACCCATAGAGAAATAAATTTTCATTGTTCCACCTGAAATTGATTTTACCTAGTTTTCATTCCTGTGAAAATAGAACTATTACAAAGGATCCTTCTCAATTTTTTTTTAAAAAGCAAAATAACCCTGTTCAAGTTTTTCATTTACATTTTTTTAAATCTCTTCATTCTTGGTATTCTTTTTTGGATGTCCCCTTTCTAAACACTGTGATTGTAACATCTACAATTCTACCTTCTTTAGTTATTTGCATATGATCCATCTCTGCCTTTAGACTGTGAGCTCCTCAAAGGAAGGGCAGAAGGAGCATTGTAGGGATGGTCCATGTGTAGTGTGCATCAACTACCCCAGACCCATGGTTTCTTGGGCTTTTCTCAACAACCACAGTGGTCAGAGCTATGACCAGTCACCTATGAGACACACCTTGCAGTAGCAGACAAGGTTTTTCATTTAACTTTAGGGTATGAGAGTTTTAAGCCTAATTCAATGATCTTTTAGCACATACCAGGCAACCCACTACAAAACCTTTGCCTTACGTTTTCTTTTTCCAATCCTCTACTGAAACAGAAAAAACTCCAAAGATCCACATTGGGCATGTTCAGCTACAAACCATTTTTACTACTGGTCTGAACCTGTCTCCCAACTACATGGAGTACAAATTCAAACAAAAAAGAATTTGAGTTCAAATCCTGCTTCAACCACTGATTAGTTTTGTGAACAAGGCTCTCTAACAACAAATGTGAGATACTGTTCCTTATATATTAAAAGATGCAAAATGCTGCTTCCTCTGCCTCCTTGTAAAGTTGTTCACTTAGTGGCTTAACATGCATACAATATTGATTAAGCAACAGGCTGGGCACTTAAGAACCCATTTAGTTACATGAGTGATTTAAGTCTGCACTCAGGAAGCTGACTTTTGGAGAGGGGGCAGGAAAATAAAAAACACGAAGAAAAATGGGATATGAAAAAAAAACATCAATTACATAATAGAGACTATGGGGGTACAGTTCCTTTCATTTGGGTTGATCACAAAGGTTTCCCAGAGGAGGCCATATCTAAATCACAGTCTAATGAGATGAGGTAGCAGCCATGAAAATCTCTTGAGCCAGGCCTAGCATGTAAATGAGCTTTGCATGTTCAAGACTAAAAGAAAGCTGAAATCTGGAGAAGCAGGTCATATGAGACATGACCACATCCACAAGGGAAAAACAGGACATATGGAGAGAAACAGACAACTTTCACATATACTTTGAAGACAGGATAGATATGAATTGGCTTTGAAGCATGAGGAGAAAGAAAAAGTGCCTGGCTTGAGCAACTGGGCAGGTGCTGGTGTTAGTTACTGATATGACAAAGATGGGGGGGGGGAGAAGACACGATGAAAAAATGAACAAAAGAAACTTTGAAAACTGTGTTTTGTATGTGTTAATTCTGAGGTGTTCATTACTATCCAAAATTTCAGGAATAAGGACAACTGCAGTGTTATGCTAGGGACCATTTGCAATGTTTTATACATGTTTCTCTCTTGATGCTTAGAGGTTATATAAATTGCTTAGTCGTAAGTGACCCACATGGAGCCTGAATGCTGCCATTGGCTGCAGAATTTATGATTTCTTTTCAACCATGAGGATCATGACTCTGGGGCACAAAGTACAAGGTGCCTGTGGTGACATGCAATGACCAGGAAATGGAGAAGAGTGAGTGACAGGGAGTACAGACAGAGGAAGGAGGGGCCTAAGCCTGAGAGAGTTCTGCAAAGGCAGAGGGTAGAGAATATATGTATAAAAAATAGTGCTGGAAATTATAAAGGACCTAAGAGATAGAAACTATATTAGTCTTTTATCTGGCTTTGTTCTTGACTTTCTCTTTCTATACTAATATTCTGTCAATAACTCAATTATGCTCTCCCATGGTCAACACTGTCTGCTATTCCAGGGATGAATCTTTCAAACCTACACCATCAGAACTTCATCAAAGCCAACAGGATCCATCATGGAAAAAGATTCAGACTTGACTTTAAAGGCTTAAAGCACTGAGAAGTCTTAAAATAACTTGCCCATGAGCCTCATTTAAAAGTTCTTTTGAATGACACAAACATTCAGTTAATTCTCAGCCTTCCTACTCAAATATCCCTTATATTCTCTATTGCTCAGCACTCCCTTGTTTATGATACTTTGAGCTATGAGATACGGATTTAGTGGATTAGACAATACTAATCCTGACTGCTGTAAAATTTATTTTACATTTTAAGTTTTCACCTCACAATATAGTTAAGGTTATCTCTAACATACACATTTAAGCTCCATTGTTTTCCAAAAAGTACTATGAGGTTTTATAGTAACCTAGGTGTCAGGAATTTCATTTTTATTAATAAACATTCAAAGGAATGTTTTATTTAGGTTGAGCCATATAAAAGTAATGTTTTTGGCTTGATGTATAAAAGGACTAATTTTGTATAGATCAATGTGATATATTTCCACTATTTATGAAGTCTCTTCTGCACTTGAATTTAAACATTTCCTTTATTTTTAGAATTTTGTCTACACACATACATAAATACTTTTAAGTTGAATAAAAATGAGAGAAAAAATTATTAACTCCATTTTAATGAGCTGCTTAATATGAGCTATTTTATTGCTGCAACATACACTTGGCATAGAATTTACATGATGTATTATTTCTTTAGGGTGTTTTGTACTAGCATTCTTTTCTAGTTTAACTTCCTATAATTGATAGCATCACATCCTCTGAACGGAAAGCTATTTGACGTACTTTAACAGAAAAGGAAACTCGTTCTTATTCTCTATACATTGCATAAAATTTCAGCAAATACCAATTCTCTGAATGTGATTTGGTTTTTAGAAACTCTCAGAATCCCTAACTCACTTTTAAAAACTGCTGCTTGCAATTGATGATGTTTTTCTTTTTATTATAGAAACTTCAAGTATACAGAGTCAATAGCAAAATGAACCCTATACACGTGGCATTCAGCTTCAAAAAGTATCTTTCATGATTAATCCCACTTCATTAGTGCCCCCCCATCCTCTTCCCACCCCCATTCCAAAGTTATTTTAATGAAAACTATGTAAGTATTTCAGGGGTATGGTGGACTTGTTTTGTTAATTTGGCCATCAACACCCCATTTTATCCTATTTCACTGACTTTATTTCTATTTTAAATTCACACTTAAAATATTCAACCCACTTGAAGCATGACTCAAGTGGTGGAGCGCCTGCTTAGTAAGCATGAAGCCCTGAGTTCAAACTCTAGTCTGGTGGAAATAAAAGGAAAACACTCAACCCAATCAATGACGGTCTTACTGTCTACTATGGATCTATCTGTGTTGATATTGTTAAAATAGAAATTGCTTCTTTATACACAACCATCCATGTCATTCATAAATTATATTATGAAATCGTACCTCTGAGACTCTTGGCAGAAATTATACTAGGAAAACAGTCAGATTTTTTTTTAAAAGCGTAACTACTAATGGAATTCTGAAGCTTTTAACAGTATCAGTTATAAAGTAAAACACTTAAATGGATATTGCATAAAAATCCATATACACACGTACCCAAAAAAAAAAACAAAGAAGAAGCAAACAAACCAAAACCCAAAAAAATCCACAGGTTACTCTGGAAGTGTGTTTGTAAATTATACACATGATCCTTATGATTAAGACCACTGTCAAAGTCAAACTTTGTCAAAAGGCTTTTTCACTGCATCTTGTTATCCTTTCTGGTTATGATAAGTTAAACAAAAGTGTCATCAACTCTAATTGTAATGTTTGAAAAACAGGAGGGGCCTGGGGGAGTGGCTCAAGTGGTAGAGCACCTGCCTATCAAGCATGAGGCCTTGAGTTCAAACCCCAGCACTGCAAAAAAAGAAAAATAGGAGGGAAAAAGTACTTTCACTTTGCTATTTATTTTTCCTTCTCTTAGCAAGGAATTTAAGTGGGTAGCCAATAACTGTAGTATACCATGGTCTTTATAATACACAACATATATGGAATAAATAGGAACATTCTACTGAGAGCAGACTCCATGTAGACAATCATAATGTACATAGATACAAGTGACGGCCACTTGACTCTGGTGCTATCCCAGAGCAGTCAGCACACATCCCTTTTATGACTGTTCTAGAAAGAAGTTTAAATTTAACTTTTCCAGCCCAGTAACTTCACACTTCTAACAGAATGAGTCTCCCTTTTGATAATTTTTTTATCATTCTTATTTTATTTGTAGTTTTCCCATTGTATGTGGATTTTTTTTTGCTTTGACTCAAATACTTTTGGTTAAGCAGTATAAGTATACAAAAAGCATATTTTTAAAAATGGTTGAGAATATTTCCTAAATTACTAAGTATGAATTCAAAACTTAAGTATTTAAATTTAAGTATACAAAAATTTTAAAGTATGGTTCAAAATGTTTCTATCTAAGTGCTTAATCTCTTTCTAAATAGGATGCAAAGAAAAGTATGAAGTCAGAATTTATGAACTGTACAAATCCTTAAGAGCAGTCACCCCATCTCCTTAGTACCCTCCAGGTTTCAGGTGAGGAAACCTTCAAGTCACTGGCACTACCAGAGAAGAACACTCACCACAGAGTTACCAGGGCCTCTTTGCAATGCCTTGCTCATTCCTTCCCAAAGCAGGGCATGGCTGTATGGTATGAGTGTATAAGCAGCAGCCAGTCACCTGGCATATCTCCCTGATTCATGCAGATTGACTAGACTCACCACATATTTAAAGAGTAGGTCCCCATGAACAGAGGTTGGCCAGTGCTACCTGTAATTAGGTGGGTAAGTTTAAATGGTGTAGAACTAAACTTTTTCCCTTCCATTAACTTTGCTTGGCAATAAAGCTGGTATTTTCAACCCTAGCTGGCTGACCTCCAACTCCATCTCTCATTTGGTAAGAACTTGGACAAGGAAAAACCTGATATAATTTACTGACCTTCCCAAAACTTCAAAACCACTTTTTATTATGCAATTATTACAGGCCACACATTAAGCCAAAAGCACTTAACAAATATTATTTCATATAATTTTTCAAAGCCATTTCAAATGGTCCCAAAGTTACACAGCTCAAAAAGAGGATAAAATGAATACTGATGAGTAATTTCTTTGTAAGGCCAGATTCCAATAAAGTAAAAGCAAACAACATCAAAATCAAAATTCTTGGCAAAGAATTTTACTTAATAGTTAACTTAACGATTAATACACTATGTTATATTACAAACTTACTCTCTTTTCAAAAACCTACTCACTCTACAACTATTACTTTCTCCTCTTCCTTCTCAAGGTCTGATTAGCCCCAATAAGGTGACCACTTCCTTCTCGTGGGTCCTCAACACCCCGTAGACCTTGGTTGTCTTCCTCTGTTTTATCTCCAAATTTGGTGGCTCCCACAGGTGTAACCCTAACACTTCTTCTCTATCTCCACTGTCCCCCTATGTGGTCCTATCCATTCTCATCTGAGCATAGCTTAAAGTGCCATCAATACATTGGCAATTCTCAATTCATACTTCTGCTGTGTAACAGGTTTGCTCTCACATGAACATCTGACATTTATATGCTAACAGGCAACTCAAACATGTCCAAAAGAAAGTACCTGCTCTTTCTACACCTATTTCCCAATTATGCCACAACCATCTTACAAACAAAAGTAATGGTACCACCACTCAACTAGTAACTCTAGTAGAAACTGATTCCTCTTTTTCTTCTACACACTCACATTCCCTACAAAGTCTGTTTTACTTTCTTCAATTAATTTTCTCTCTACCAACATCAGCTTGCTCCCTGACTATAAAAAATGGCTCATAACTGGCCTATTTCACCTTTTTCCCAATGATAATCCATTCTCCACAGCCCAGTCAATGAACTTCCACCACACGGTGACTTATTCTTGGTCTAAAAACATCAAACTCTTTTTTAGTCTACAGCCTCTTATATTGACTACCTGTGTGTGGAAAATGCTACCACTAAATCGTGATGTGGAGAGTTCTCTTACAGCACTTCAGTCATAATTCAGATGCTGTCTCAGAAGAAATGCAGATGCTCATCCCCACGACCAGTTACTCTCTACCACATCACAAATTGTAATTACTAAATTCTGTTTGCATTTGTCACCCCTTCTGTTTCCATGAAGGAAGCTTTATTTTTTTTAATAGTGAATAAATCCATAATGAATCCATACTTAGTATATTACTGCCTATTTGTTTAATTGCTCCTAATTATATAGCCTATTAAAGCCCAAGTAGATGAGTTAAACACTGTAAGTGACAATCCAATTAGAAAAGTTCAAAGACCTACTTACGGAGTCCCACAGAATCTGGTTTCCCATTATCATTCTTACTTGGCTGTACAAGTGGAGCAAATGAAACAGCAAGGATATTTTTACTCTCCCAAGTGTTTTGTCCAGTTCGCATAATCTGTGTTAACTACAATGAAAAAAGAGGTAATGTGATTACCTTACAGTTAAAATTTTGTCAAGGGAGTAACTGCCAATGAGAGGTATATTCATACTACTTATACTTAAATGTAACCAAATTACATTAAGATTTATTATAAATTAATATAGAAGGATTAAAAAATATCTGCCATTTAAGATGGATATTTCAGTTCCTGCCTAGCAAGCATGAAGCCCTAAGTTCAAACCCCAGTATTGTCAAAAAAAAAAAAAAAAAAAGATAAGATATTTAATGCAAATGGGTCAGTCAAATGTGGCCAGCAAGTCTCCATGTTAGCTTTGAGGTCTGATCGCTTCTACAGGTACAATCCATCCATGCCATTGCCTCACCAAATAAATGTCTGAAATAGGGTCAGTCATCTGGTTAGAGCACTGTACTAACAAAACAGTACTGGAGTTTAAGCTCAGGGCCTCACACTTACTAGGCAGGTGCTCTACCACTATGAGGCACGCCACCGGTTCTTTTTGCTTTTGTTATTATTCAACTAGGTTTGGTGTATTTTTGCCAGGCTGGCCTGGACCACAGTCTTCCTATTTACACCTCCAGCATAGCTGGGTATGGCACATATATGTCACCATGCCTAGCTTCATTGGTTGAGATGGGAGTTCCACTAACTTTTTGCCTGGGCTAGCATCAAACCACAATCCTCCCAATCACCACCTCCCAAGTCAATGCACCCAGCCAACAAAGCCATATTTTAATAATTATACCAAGAAGTTGACTTTATACTCTTCCATGATAGTAGATTCTAACTCTAAGCCCAACTTGGTATTTCACAAACAAATATAGCCACAAAAAGACCAAGAGTTTTATCAACTCAGCAAACACCCATCAATAGTTGTAGGGGAAAAAAAATTAGTTCAGTACACAATTTGTTCAAGATTAATTAATACCCACAATTCATGTTATAAAAAGCAGTTCATTATTGTATCTGACATTTGTATAATTATATAGCGTAAATTTTTTATAAAATATTGATACAAGAAATAGGCCAGGCTAAGTGGTACACACCTATGATCCCAGTACTCAAGAAAATGAGGCAGGAGGATGGGGAGTTCAACAACAGCCTGAGCTATACAGCAGTACCTGATCCCCCCCAAAAACAAAATTAAATTAAAAAATGGGAAACATATCATTGAAGAAAAATAAAAGAACAAAAAATATTGTTTAACTGAAGTTTTAAGTTGGAGATTTTTTTCTTTTTTTTTTGGTGATAACTGGGATTTGAAGTCAGAGCCTCACACGTGCTAGGCAGGCACTCTACACTTGAGCCACTCCACCAGGCTTTTATGTTGGGTATTTTCAAGATAGGGTCTCCAGAACTATTTGCCTGGGGTCAACACTATCTTCCTGATCTCTGCCTCCTGAGTAGCTAGGATTACAGGCGCGAGGCACCAGAGCGCAGCTTTAAATGGAAATTTAAACCTTGGAAGTATTCAAGATAACATTTTTCTAGGAACTTTTTTTTATGATGTGGGGGCTCATACATGCTAGGAAAGACTCTACCACTGAGCTACATCCCCAACCCTTGCAGGAATTTTATTTTATTTATTTATTTTTTTTTTTGCAGTACTGGGGCTTGAACTCAGGATCTACACCTTGAGCCACTCTACCAGCCCTTTTTTGTGAAGGGTTTTTTCGAGATAGGGTCTCATGGAACTATTTGCCCTGGCTGTCTTCAAACTGCAATCCTCCTCATTTCTGCCTCCTGAGTAGCTAGGATTACAGGCATGAGCCACTGGCGCTGCTGCAGGAATACTTTTTAATGGATATTTCTATATTCTGTCTTTAAGGTAACTGATAAACAATTTGCTGCAAAGTTCATGGTGATATTCACTTAACCACAAATGACATGTTGTTATGTTAAAGGCTTCCTGAGACATAAACTCCGTAACTATCGTGGTAGGTCCCAGTGGTCTTAGATAATCTAACTCCTCTTCAGTATGTTCAAAGAACTGAAGAATACTGCAAAATCACTAGCACAGGCAGTCACAATTAGCTGAACACCTTCCAGGTGAGGAAGCAAGGGAGCAGCTTGCAGGAGGCTTCACACAGAGTAGCTGACCATGACTGAATGCCTTAGTCTTCTCTAATCACTGTAGGATTGTTTCTTCATCTGCTTTGCTTAAATAATTAGGAGTCTATTTCACCAGGTGCTGGTGACTCATATCTATATAATCCTAGCTACTTGGGAGGCTGAAATCGAGAGAATGGTGGTTCAAGGCCACCCTGGCAAATTGTTCTCGAGACTCCACCTCCAAAATTACCAGAGCAAAATGGACTGGAGGTGTGGCTCAATCAAGCAGTAGAAGCGCTTGCTTTGCAAGTGCTAAGCCCTGAGTTCATACTTCGGTTCCACTATAAACAAAACAAAACAAAACAAAAAAATACCCCTTTGTTTCATGTTTTCTCTATACCCATCATTGTGAAGAGTGTTTCTTCTTTAAAAATAAAAATATTACCTTTCGCTTTCACTGAATAACAATTCCTGTTGTTAAAATTATGGGCTTCCTTCCTATGATTCTAAGTGAAAGGACAGTAGAAGGTACCTGATCCTCTATAGGCATAACCAGTATGCCTCCAACTTTTAGTAAGATTTTCATGTAGTTTTCATGGTCTTTCTGGACTCCAGCACCACAATAAATTCGATCATACTGATGGCTGTCAGACGCTATCTGGAGGCAATTACCAACCACAAATGCAGGTTCACAGAACTCAAATCTGTATAGAAAAACAAACATTTTTATTCCTTTAAACAAAATGCTAAATCTAAAAAAATTACCATAATCTAGTCCTTGAAATAGTGATGCTACCAAAACTCATTATAAGGATAAAAGTGATTATGAAATTTGATTTAAATATATGTATGAAGTTTAACACTGATCAAATGTATTGTTTTTCATCAGTGATACGGGGTACATGCTTTTAAAATGACCTATTTTGGGTCATACTGAAACCTCACTTATGGCATAAAGAAATGAACATGATCAAAAGCCCTTCCTAACACCAATTTTGTGATGTCCCCAAAATGATGGATAATGATAAGAATCATAAGCGTCAACTATAAGAAATGGCTTCACTTTCCACTTGGTTTCTCCAAAAAAGTTGAGGGCCCAACAGAAATGAGAAGGCCTCATGCAAATACTGTGCTTTGTGACATTTGTGCTGAGAATAACTGTAGCAGAGCTTTGTCAAGAGGTAATAGTGTCCTGACCATAAACTCTGCAATCACTAAGATAGGAGGTTTTCCTAATAAATTTTGGCTGAGCAACATTGTAGGATTGGGACAGAGAACAGAATGAATACTGTTTTTAATTACAACTGCTTTGGCCTCTGTGATCACCCTAAGCAACAGAGAAGCGATGTGCTTTCAAAGTTTATCCAGGCCACTTATTCCTGGTTACAGGTTTGGCTCATGATACACACTTAGGCTTCCACAAACTATTCTATTTAGACTTCTATTTTATTTTTTAAATTTTATAAACAAAACTGAAGATAGACTAATACATAACATATAACTAAACTCCAATGTACATGTAATCTTTTAAACTAAGTTTTGTCCTTTAAGTTGATTATAGTCAATATGATCACAGAAAAATCATGCTATTACTTGAGAATAAAGTAATTTACACTAAAAGTTTTGGCATGCAGTAAAAAATAACAGATTTGAATCACAATCATTTTTACCTTGCATAACATATCCTGTCCTTTAGTAATTAACAGTGGACTTATTACACAGTAAGTTTCCATTAAAAAATCACTAAAACACAAATACATTATGAACACATATTCAAAGAAGAGTTCACCAGAACTGTGCCCTGTCCTTATTATATTTCTGGTAGAGGGGAGTCAGGGAAGTGGGAAGGGTTGAGGGATCTGGGAGGAATAAGCAGTGTAAGCTCTCATCTCTACATCCTTACGCTTCTTTTACTATAATGGCCATCTCACTGCTCACATTTTGCTCCTTACTGCAGAGAATAAGTTCAAACTTCCAGTCATGCCATATGGGGTCTTTATAATTGCTATGATTTGGATATGGTGTGGATGTGTCCCCCCAAAGGTTCATGTCCTGCAAGTTTGGACCCTATCTGGCAATGTTAAGAAGTGGTGAAAACGTTAAGAGGTGGGCCATGGAGGGAGGGGATCAGATCATGGGGAAACCACCCTCAGAAGGGACCAATGTCCATCGCAGGGGGTGGGTTCGGGACCAAAGGACTACATCAGTGTTATAAAGCAAGGCTGCTCCATGTCTGGCCTCTTCCAGATGTACTAACCGCTCTCCAACAAGCTCCTACCTTGTGATGCCACCTGCTATGTTAGGATGCAGCCTAAGGCCCCCATCAGATGTTGCTGCACAAGCTTAAAGTTTCAGCTTCCAAAACTGTGAGCCATAATAAACCTCTCTTCCTTATAAATTATCCAGTCTCAGGTATTCTGTTGTGGCAACACACAATAGACTAATTACCCATTTAGACATTTCCTTACTTTACCCCAACCTGTACAGACTATGCTGTAGTCAGTTTGAAATACTTCCTTCTAATTCCCTATGGGAACCATCACAAATTGTTTTGAAAGCCTGTGTCTGTGTATGTGCTGAAATACCCTTTCCTAGCCTTCTTCCCTTAATAAATTTATGCTAACCCTCAAGATACAGTTCAAATATCAATGTCACAATGAAATCTTAACTCTTTTAATAAAAGTATAAACTTACCTAAGTTAGTAGTCATACTGAATTTCTCATACAACACTATGGCACAATCTCTATTGTCTCAAATATACTGAAAATACTATCTTTTGCTTTTAAGTAATTAGATACCTCTACCAAATGCTTATTACATTTTATTATTAAGCCATGTGATTCCTGGTTCAATAATTTTATCAAATTTGCAATAGGCACTCTTAAAAAAAATTATTGCAGGGGGTTTGGGGGTGGGATGTAGCTCTGTGGTAGAGTGCTTGCCTAGCAAGTACAGGTCCTTGAGTTCGATTCCCAGCACTGCCCAAACAAAAATTGAGTTATTTTCAGTAAATTCTATCTAAAAACTTCATTCTTATCTATGTTCATTTTTAATGTATTAATTTTATAATAATTTAAATTAGTCTCATAATATTCAGGATGAATTTGAGAAGGGAATTTAAGCAATCAAAAAATCTGAATTACCAACTTTCTTTTATCATCAAATCTGTTGAATGAACGCAAAAATATATTTACAGTTTTTTGTTTGTTTGTTTGTTTTTGATACTGGAGATTGAAACCAGGGCCTCCTGGTTCCACTCTACCACTTGAGATCTGCCCTCAGCCCTTTCGTTTGTATGTTGTTTTTAACATTGCCTAAACTAGCCTACAACTCTCAATGATCCTCCAGTCCCTGCTTTTCCTGGTAACAGGGATTTCAGGCATGTGCCACCATCCAGCTTATTTACAGATTTAAAAGCTTCCTACTGACTAAAATACAAGGTAGCTAGCTTACAGAACTATTGCCAAGGAAAACACCATTACAGGCAAACAACTGACAATTAAAACTGCATCTCGTATTAATGAGTTTTATATATTTTCATTACAATAAAATAAATTAGAAAGAACTTAGTGCCTAACTTTAAGTTCAAATGTGTCTCTCTACATAAGTTACCTATCAGTAGTAACTACATATTCATTCAGCCAAATACTATTTTCTGAGCATCAGCTTTTGGTACCGAATGGAAATTAAATCGGAAATAATCATGTCTACATCCAGTGGAAGAGACATGCATCAAATAATCACATTCAAAAAAGTATAACTTACAACTGTGATAAGTGCTTTAAAGGAAAGGAATATGACTCCTTAAGATTAAGGATAAAAAGAAACGGAAAGACCTGGGGATCAGAGTAAGCTATGTTGAAAAATCACAACCTGTGATTGAAAGGTAAGAACCGCACTATCCAAGATGGTGGCCACATGAGAATATTAAACCTTTAAAATATGGGTAGTCCAAAGTGAGCTGTGTTCCAAGCATAAAATTCACTTAAGTTTTCGAAAACTTAAGTACAAAAAAATGCAAAATATCTAAATATTTATTTTATATTTTTAAATTAATATATGTACATACTGTTTTGAGGCAGGATAGATCAGGAAAAAAGGCATGGAAAATAGGAGCCAGGAATTCAGAGGTAAACATTGCATTAGTGAATAGCTTGATTAAAAACACAAAGGTACTATTTTGTTTGCTATAAGCACCACAATTCCTCACTAAACTGCAACACATAGTTTAAAAAAAAAAAAGCATCTCTCTCTCTATGCTACTCTGGGGACTGAACAATATTATCTTAAAAGAAAACAAACAAACAAACAAAAACCACTTATCTTGGGAACAAAAACTTGGTAAAATGACTCCTTCACTCACAGAAGTGTTTGCTAAGGAAAAATATTTATCTTAAGGTTCATTTATCTAATGAACCCATCCTTTGTTTAAAGGGATGCTCAAGAGGAACACATCTGTGTCACCATGACCCATATTTAGTAAACTGATCAGACTTGTTATCTGGACACAACTGATAATGTCAAAACAGTGTAACACCAAGACTGACTAAAGCAGACCCCGTGCTCTAAACAAAGACAAGTACTTAAACTAAGGGGAGTTTAACCAAACTCCAACTCACTTTCTCACCATAAATATCACTGGTGATTAGAGCACTTGGCATGCCTCTTCTCAGGTGCCCACACCCACATCTGGGTGTGTGCTGTCCTTTTGTTTGCTTACAACTTCCTTGGTCTCTACCTAAATGTGTCCTAAAATTCTTTTTGGGACAACATCACAAACTGGTACCCAAGGGCCAGGTAGAAGCCTCCTCCCTTTGGAGACCTCTTTGGTTCCAGTAATAGTATCAACAGTTACATAAAAGGAAAATACTAAACAACTGCCCTTCTATTTATTATCGATAAATAAGTGCTTCAAATACTCTCTCTTTAACACACTCTTCCCTTTAAAACATTTTCCTGGTGTTTCTGCTATCCCTTTGAATATTTCTTTTGAATTTGATTGTATGTCCATCACCTATAATGGTCCTTAAAATGAACTTATTAAGTAAACCATAAAAGAACCATAAATGCTTGTCTTAACTTTTGTACCTACCAATTTTGAGTATGAACTCAAATTTAACACATTAAACCTGATAATCAAAAAAACTCAAGGCTAGAAAACAAATTTTCCCAGGAATAAAATAACAGAAGAATTACAGGTCTATGGCATTCTCTACAGCAGTATGATGGTTCATGTTTTACTAAATTGATTAGTATTAACGACTATAGCTTCTTGTTACAAAATTCAGAATTTTCAACATGCCAAAAAAAGGCAAAACTCAAATAATGAAAAATACAAAACCCTTGCCTTTAAAGAATAAACCATCATATATTTAAAGATCCCAAATAAAACACCCTTACTGTTCTAGTAAACAACTTGAATGTTTTGCTTTCGAATGGAGATCTAAAAAAGTATTTCAACCTGAAGAGTATTATAAGGATCACTGCAGAGAAAAATCAAACCACCAATAAATAATTTCTACTAATACAAATGAAATACATACTTCTAACAAATGCATATAGCTTTTTGGGGAAGGGGGTAGTGGACTGATCCAAGCCTCAAGCTTGCTAAGCCAAAGCTTACAAGCCAAGCCCCATGCCACAAATGCACATAGTTTTCACACTTCTATTTTTGTTACACTTTCATTTTACATATCAATTTCC